CTCCTGAGTGTTGCTATCTGCTTCGAGGTGTATGCCCTTCGCCATCAGTTGGCTGGCGCTCAGTAAGTTGTAACCGAGCCCTTCTGCAATTAGAACCTTCGACATCTGCAGTATGACGTTTGTTTCTCGTGACTCAAGTTGCACTACGCCTTGTCGACGTGTGCGCACGACCTCGCGTTGAAGTTGGTGTTCGCGTTGAACAAAGCGTCCTGAGGAGCACATGTGCTGTCCGCAGCAGCTGTCCAAGAACCACGTATCTTTCCCGGACGGCTCGCTTTGAGCGATGGCTGCATACGTCGGATTTGGTTGAAGTGATTCGCAACGAGGCGTGCTATTGTCGAGTTGCTTTTCCGGTGAGTAATGCGGTGGTGACTCTGTGATGCAGGAGTCGGTCAAACATGCCATACAACTGATGATGTTTCTTGTTCCTTGCGCAGGTTGTCCCGTCGATGTCGTTGAGGCTTGTACTTGAGTGGTCGGATTTGCTTGCGTTGAGGCGACTTGACTGCTTGAAGGGCGAAGCGGCCACTACATTGGCGTTGACTGCTGCCGGTTTGGGCAGTGTGTACGGGGGTGACCTGACGTCTTGCAAAGGTGACAGAACGGAGGTACTGGTTTCGGTTGATGCCGGTTGTTGTTGTTGTTGTTGTTGTTGTTGTAGCGCCGTTGAGTGTGAAATGCGAATTCGGGTACTGATGCCTTCCTCGTTGTTGTCCGTGAAGGTAGGGCGGGGCCGCGACAGGTCGGGGCCGCGAAGGTAGGGCGGGGCCGCATAGGGTCCGGGGCGGGGCCGCGACGTAGGGCGGGGCCGCTTCGAGGGGCGGGGCCGCGACGCAGGGGCGGGGCCGCGACGAGGGGCGGGGCCGCGACGGTCGGGGCGGGGCCGCGACGGAGGGGCGGGACCGCGACAGGTAGGGCGGGGCCAAGCCGGGCAGGCGCACGGGCGGCGACGGGCCGGGGCGGGGCCGCGACGAAGGGCGGGGCCGAGCCGGGCAGGCGCACGGGCGGCGACGGGCCGGGGCGGGGCCGCGACGTAGAGGAGAAGCCCGCCGCGCGCCCCGGGGCGCACAGCGGGCAATGAACCGCCGCGCGCCTCGGGGCGCACGGCGGGCAGAAAACCGCCGCGCGCCTCGGGGCGCACGGCGGGATGAAAAAGTAGCAGCGGAAGCAAGGTGGGGACACACCCACAGGATCGATCCAAGGGGATCGACCTGCTCTGATAGCATGTTAAAATTAGAAGAAAGAAAGAGGATTGAACTAGCAAGAATGAGGATACAAATAGCAAACCCTAGAAGGGTTGTACTCGCTATAGAGCACCCCACTACAGGCTAGAACAATAAGATAATATTCTGACATTAAGACGTGCGCGAACTGCGACTGAACTTGAAGTGCGTCCAGTGTCTTCTCTTGTCCTGGTGCAGGCTGCGAGTGCGGCATAAAGCTGACGGAGCCGCGTTGGGGTTCGTACGGAGCAAAGGTAGGCTGTTGCTGTTGATTTCCGCGTGCGTAGGATGAACCGTCGAGGCTCATTGGTGTTGCGTTGTTGTTGTTGCTGTTGTTTGATTGCGCAGGTGCCCCTTGCTGGTGTTGTTCGTAGAAGGACATGAAGGAGAAGAATTTTTCCATCATGTCTGTGTCGAAGGCCGCGGCTTGATTTGCGGGAGTTTCGGTAGACCCAGCTGCCGGTCTTGTTGCTGTGACTTCCTCTGTCTGTAGGCCAGAGGCAGGAGGTGGAGTAGGAGTGGTACTGGGAGAACCATAAGAGGAACTCCTTTCCTTCTGAGTAGCCATGCTTTCTGATGCTGTAGGTGTCTTGATAGTGGAATTTGTACTGACTGCTCTGATACCATGTTGGGCTGAGAAAAGCCCTTAGGATCTTTGCAGGACTAAACTCCTGGTAGGACTGATGTAATAGCGGAAGCGTTTAATGAAGAGTTGTGAACCACCTTGCGCTAGTATGTGAGGGCAAAGTAGATTGATTAATAACAAAGAGATACAAGGTTTTATAAGAGTACAAGGGAATATGAGGGGTTGTAACTAATAACCGTTTTGTCAGTAGAGCTACACTGTGAGATCCCCGATCGATCCTAGGGGGGGTTACAGGCGTGTTTGCTAGGGGGGTTATGGGCGCACTGACCCGGTATTGAAAGAAGCCCTTTTATCCCAATGGTCTAGTGGTTGGGATTCTGACATGGTATCAGAGCGGTCTTGGGTTCGAATCCCGGTGTATGCACATGTTGGCCGTTGCCACTGTGCTTAGTCCTGGGCCTCCCAGTGTGAGGGGGTGTCAGTAGAGCTACACTGTGAGATCCCCGATCGATCCTAGGGGGGGTTACAGGCGTGTTTGCCAGGGGGGTTATGGGCGCACTGACCCGCTATTGAAAGAAGCCCTTTTATCCCAATGGTCTAGTGGTTGGGATTCTGACACGTTTTACTATTGTTGTTGCGGTTCGATACAGTGACGACTCGGGCAACTGCTCAATAGCGAGTCAGTTGTTTCTCCTTGCTGTCGCGCTGTACTTGTCAGGTCAAAGGTCGCTGACCTTTGACTTTCGCGTAACCTCCAACAGTTGTTCAACCTCCGAGGGTTGACTCGGCGATGCTTCGATATGTTCTGCTTCGTTTCTAATTTGGTGTTTCGACACGACAGGGGCGCTTAAATCAATTGTTTCCAACATGGACAACCACATGCCATGCTACCGGTATACCGTCAGCCCCCGGATAGAAGCGTCCCTGGGGATATAAAAAAACAATGTGGTTTAGGGGGTGCGCTTATACGGTATTTGACGATTTTTATAAGCGCCGGGGCTTACATAATGACATATGTGAAATCTAGTTTTTTTTACACTAAAGTGTTCATCTCGTCCTTGCGATTTGAATCGAATCGATATTCTAGAGGGCATTGAATGTGAATTTCGCGTGAATTGGCAGTGGCTGATTCTCTGCCAACACACACAGTCAGAATGAGTCAGATTTGTGAGAATTGAGGAATGAAGAAGAGAAGGTGTTCACTAGCAAGCAGTTGAGTACATATAGGAAACCCTAAGTTGGGCTGTACTCATTATTGAGTACCCCACTGCAGGCTAGACAAACATAACATTCTGACACACCCCCATAGCCCAAGTGGGGTGTAATCAGCACAATGAGCAAGCAGGCATAGAGCAGGAGTTCACAATAGCGAACAAAGCTAGAGTCATTCACAAAGGGCAAGTGAGGAGGAGGAGGAGGCGAGACTGTGAGAGGAGAGGAGATAGGAGGCGACGGCTGAAGCTGCAGACACACGGGCAACAGGAGTCACACTGGCACAGCGGCTACCGGAACAGCGCTCCGGACTACTGGAGTAACTGGTTCCGCGGCTAAGACTAGCGGCAGACGAGCAACGGACCCACGGGCGACTGGCACAGCTGGCTACGACTGGGCTACCGGAGCAGCGCCTCGGACTACTGGTGCTGCTGACGACACGACGACAACCTCCGTTCAACCAACCTCCTCCAGCTGCCCCACACCTCTCGACACACACCCCCTGCTCAAACCCTAGCTCCACTCCCATAGCACCCCCCTTACACCCTAAACCGCAGGCTCACACACATCCACCTCCCTCAAAACCCTAGCTCCACTCCCACAGCACCCCCCTTAAACCCTAAACCCCAGGCTCCCACACATGCACCCCCCTCAGCGACAGCTGCAGCAGTGGGAGACGAAGGAGGAGGAGGAGCAGGGGAGACCACACACCCGTCACCCCCTACTCGCCACCCCCAGACCCTAACACAGGGCAGGGCGGGACGGCGGGTAGGGAGGTTAGGGGGGGGGGGGGGGGGGGGGGGGGGGGAGGGGCACGCGCGGTCTCCCAGGGCGCCAAAACAGGCGGCAGAAGGGGCGATGCTCGCCCCCCTCCCCCAGGTGCCCCCGAAGGAGCCGCGACGGGCGACGGGAAAAGGGGGGGGGCGGTGCACGTGCCCCCGGTGCGCCGCGGCTGGCGACGGGGCATGGCCGGGGCGGGCCGGGGCCGCAAGTGGCGGCGACGGGGCCGCTGGAGGCAGCGACGGGGCCGCTGGCGGCGACGACGGGGCCGCTGGCGGCGGCGACGGGGCCGATAGGAGCGGCGACGGGGCCGCTAGGGTCGGCGACGGGGCCGCTGGCGGCGGCGACGGGGCCGCTGGCGGCGGCGACGGGGCCGATAGGAGCGGCGACGGGGCCGCTAGGGTCGGCGACGGGGCCGCTGGCAGCGTCGACGGGGCCGATAGGGGCGGCGACGGGGCCGCGAAGGGGCCGCGAGGGGCCTGGAAGGGCGGCGACGGGCCGCGAAAGGGGCGGCGACGGGGCCGCGAAGGGGCCGCGAGGGGCCTGGAAGGGCGGCAACGGGGCCGCTAAGAGTAGCGCGAGGGGCACGCCACGGGGCGTGCCGAATACAGAGTAGCAGCGGAAGCAGTTAGGTGGGACCACAGGCCAGGAGCGTAGATGCTCTGATAGCATGTGAGAATTGAGGAATGAAGAAGAGAGGGTGTTCACTAGCAAGCAGTTGAGTACATATAGGAAACCCTAAGTTGGGCTGTACTCACTATTGAGTACCCCACTGCAGGCTAGACAAACATAACATTCTGACAAGATTGACCCCATGATAGCACATTCTAACTGGACGCGAAGGCATTGAGTCGCGCGAGGGGGAAGGGTTTGGCTGAATGTGGGGATGCAATACTGTGTTTCGTTTCAGCGTTTTCAGTAAAAATATAAAAACTATTACAGAGGGTGGCGCTTATAATCCGTAAGCCTTCAGGGGTGCGCTTATAATCGAGGACCGGATATAAGCGCCCTCATCCTTTTATAAGCGCCGGCGCTTATCCGAGGCCTGCGCTTCTATCCGGGGGCTTACGGTACGTACCTACTGCAAGCACTGCACAGGTAACACCAACCCATCTTGTACGCTAGAGAACATGCACTGGGGCTGCATGTCCGCCTCTTCTCCTGCCTACGGCCCTAGTGTGTGATCGGCCTTTTGCTAGCTAGGGAGCCAGTCTCTCTATCACCCACTTGCCTTGCACATCTTTCTTGTACCGCAGCCTGCACCGTTGGGATGGAACGATGGAGACACACACATGGTGATGGGGATGGAGACACACACATGGTGATGGGGATGGAGACACACACATGGTGATGGGGATGGAGACACACACATGGTGATGGGGATGGAGACACACACATGGTGATGGGGATGGAGACACACACATGGTGATGGGGATGGAGACACACACATGGTGATGGGGATGGAGACACACACATGGTGATGGGGATGGAGACACACACATGGTGATGGGGATGGCGACACACACATGGTGATGGGGATGGAGACACACACATGGTGATGAGATGCAGGGGTATGCAGCATGTGCATGTGCAAATGCAACCGCGTGTACATGTGCATGTGCATCGGAAAGTGCATGTGTGTGTGCAAGTGCTGTACATGTGCATGTGCATGTGCAAGAGCAAGTGCAAGTGAATGTGCATGTGTGTGCGGATGAGAATGCACGTGGCACCTGTCATGCAGGCGGGACTCCCTGCCCTGCCAGAACTCCATGGCGCGCGGCACCACTCTAAACCCACCCCAGTGCTCCGGCCGGGGGATCGGCATGCTACACAGGAGAAAGGGAGAACGCACAGGGGGCACAGGGAACACCAACGGTTAAAAGGTGCCCCTTTTGTCCTCTCTCAGATGCTCCAGTACATTAGGGGGGCAAGGAGGCAAAAGACGGCAAGTACAGAGAGAAGCGTTGAAGTGAGGGAGCATGAGAACAGTCCCAGAGGAGACTTTTGAGTCGACTCAAAAGTCAGCTCGTTGAAGTGAGGGAGCATGAGAACAGCACCAGAGGAGGGGGGAACGGCGTTTGGCACATGCACGCTCACACTTGGAGGCAAGTTAGGAAGGGGGGAATGGCGTTTGGCATTTGACAAAGTAAATGTTTCACCTGACACTGGCTGAGGGGCGTACAGATGGGCCTCAAAACGATGCGGAGAACAGTGCGCACTATAGCCATTACGAGTGTGCTACCATCACGAGTGTGCTACCATTAAGAGTGTGCTACCATTACGAGTGTGCTACCATTAAGAGTGTGCTACCATTACGAGTGTGCTACCATTAAGAGTGTGCTACCATTAAGAGTGTGCTACCATTAAGAGTGTGCTACCATAACGAGTGTGCTACCATTAAGAGTGTACTACCATTACGAGTGTGCTACCATGAAGAGTGTGCTACCATTACGAGTGTGCTACCATTACGAGTGTGCTACCATTACGAGTGTGCTACCATTACGAGTGTGCTACCATTACGAGTGTGCTACCATTAAGAGTGTGCTACCATTAAGAGAGTGCTACCATTAAGAGTGTGCTACCATTAAGAGTATACTACCATTAAGAGTGTGCTACCATTACGAGTGTGCTACCATTTCAAGTGTGCTACCATTACGAGTGTGCTACCATTAAGAGTGTGCTACCATTACGAGTGTGCTACCATTACAAGTGTGCTACCATTAAGAGTGTGCTACCATTACAAGTGTGCTACCATTACGAGTGTGCTACCATTACGAGTGTGCTACCATTACGAGTGTGCTACCATTACGAGTGTGCTACCATTAAGATTGTGCTACCATTACGAGTGTGCTACCATTAAGAGTGTGCTACCATTACGAGTGTGCTACCATTACGAGTGTGCTACCATTAAGAGTGTGCTACCATTACGAGTGTGCTACCATTACGAGTGTGCTACCATCACGAGTGTGCTACCATCACGAGTGTGCTACCATTACGAGTGTGCTACCATCACGGTGTGCTACCATCACGGTGTGCTACCATCATGAGTGTGCTACCATCACGAGTGTGCTACCATCACGAGTGTGCTACCATCACGAGTGTGCTACCATCACGAGTGTGCTACCATCACGAGTGTGCTACCATCACGAGTGTGCTACCATTCTGTCGGCATCGCCAGCCTGCCCGCCTGATTGCTGGTGCCTCACCTCTTGAACCAAACCGGGCTTGGAAGTTGGAACAACTTCATTGTACGGCCTCACCCTTTCCCTACAACGTCTCAAAAAACAAGCTGGGCTTGGAAGTTGGAAGTGTACGGCCTCACCTGTCGCCATACTGTTCCTGCAGTGCAGCATATGCAGCCTCCAGCTCTTCCCGACTGGCAATCACTGCACTCTGCGGTGGGGAGGGCGGAAAGTAGGCGAATGAAAGTGCAATTGTAAATCAAGCTGGAAGGGTTGAACAGAGAACCAAGGCTTGTTGGTTAGATTGTTAGCTGGGGTGAAAACATGAGTGGTAACCACACTGTTACAAATGTGTGGCTTAGGGTTAGGATTCGAAACTATGGGCACGTGGAGCTTTGTGATGATAGAACCGGTTTCAATCGCTGCAAACCGTTATAACTCTGGGTCGTCTGGTACCTGACATCTGATTAAGTGGTCTAACCACCTAACTAGCTAACAGGAGAGAAATCTGAGCAGAAAGAGGGACGGTGGTTTCGACCTTGGGCTACGTACGCCTTCTGATGCAAAAAGGGGCATATGCATTTGGGGGGAGCATTCCAACTTGCGAGATCTGGACTGCACAGCGAAGATGTAGCGAAAGTGAAACCACACTGTAATCCAAACCACACCGCGTAGAAAGCGAAGATCAGAAATGCGTATTCGCAACAGCGCCACAGTGTTGTCTCAACCTTGAAAACTCTCACACGGGAAAGGAAAAACCTACGGTTTTCAATCGTTTCAGGAGAATTGCAGTGCAGCGTTGGAGGTATAACACACCTGCTTTGAAGTATTCTGAAAAGTGACGCACCTGCTCACTGGCCAGCGCGCCAACCTGGCTGCCGGTTTTGTTAGGTGCCTCCTAAGAGGTCGCCTGTTTTGATGCGCCTCACACGAGGTCTCTCACGCAGCTGCTCTTAAGTATTCTTCTCAAAACTGACGCACCTGTTCACTGGCAAGCGCGCCAACCTAGCTGCCGTTTTTGAGGCGCCTCAAAAGAGGTCGCCTGTTTCGCGGCGCCTCACAACAAGTGGTCTGCCTCACGCACCTGCTCACTGGCAAGCGCGCCAATCTGGCTGCCCCGCGGCCGCGAGTGGAAGTAAGCGTCGGATTCGGAGTCAGGTACCTTCTCCACCTCTCCCTCCACTCGCACCTGCACTCTCCAGCACAATGAGCGGTGGGGGAGAGATAGTGAGGGTGAGGGTGAGCAAGAGAGTGACAAAGATAAAAGAAACTCAGGTATTTTCTCCACCTCTCCCTCCACTCGCACCTGTGGTGAGAGCTCTCGTGGTGAAGTCGATGCAATGGTGGAAGGGGAGAGAGAACGAAGGGGAAGACTGGAAGAGAGTGAGGGAGAGTTGTCAGAGATAGTACGAAGTGGGAAAGAATCAATCAGATTGTCTCTGTAATATACGTTCCGAAAGCAGGCTCCCCCCCACCTGTCGGTGCAGCGTTGATGGTACTTTTGAGAATTCTCAAAAGTACCATCAACGTAAACATTCCTAAAGCAGGCTCCCCCCCACCTGACGGTGCAGCAACTCCCAGTAGAAGACAAGGGCGGCCTGAGGACATGCATTTCACTTTTTGCATGTTTCCTGGAAACATAGAAACTGCTCCACCCATTAAAAGACATTCCAAAAGCAGGTTCCCCCCAACCTGTCGGTGCAGCGACTCCCAGTAGAAGACAAGGGCGGCCTGAGCGGGCGGCACGCCAGGCTGGCCCAGCAGCTCCTGCCCCTTGCGGCTTCTGTAGTTTGTGAAGAAGACAAAGCCGGCCGGGTCCGCCCCTTTGAGCAGCACAATGCGCGCTGAGCTGCGGTGCAGAGGGGTGTGAGGGGAAGAGGGGGGGGTTGGGATTGGGACTAGGGGACGGAGTGCAGGGGAAGATGTAGAATAGGTGGGGAGGACAGAGGGTGGGCTCAAGAGGGTGGGAAGAGAAGATGGACAAGAGAGGGTAGGGAACTGGGTGTGGGGAGACTTTTGAGAATTCTCAAAAGTCGCACCAATATGGTGTGGGGAGAGATGGGGAGAATGACAGTTCCATATTTGAAGGTGCACACACACACCACACGGATATTTCTTGATCCACATCGTCAGTTGAGTTGCTTGCATGCATGCACACGTTTGCTAGATATGCAAGCGCATGCGACTGTGCATGCACCACTCTTGACACCTGCCAGCATCTCCCCACCTCTCTCTTCCCCCTCCCTCCCTCCATTCCCCCCCAACTCCTGCCTAAGGCCTCCCCTTTCGTCGTCACAACAAATGCTTGTGGAATTTGGTTCCGTTGGGTGTGGACATGCAAAGGCTCATAACTAGCTAGCACCATTGAAGCGCACACGCAAGCAGCATCCCACCCCCCTTCGTCCCCATCCTTGTCTCCCTCTCCCCCTCCCCGCCACTTTCTATTTCCCCTCCCTCCCTTCCCCCCTCCCCTCGCCCCCTCTTCGCTGTACTTAAGGTCTCCCAGCCTCGTCCATAGTGCAGAGGGTCATGGCATTGGGCTCGCGTGTAGTAAGTCGATTTTTTTTTTTTTTTGAGTCGGCTCAAAAATAGTCTCCCAGCGTCGTCCACAGTGCAGACGATCATGGCATGGGGCTCGGGCACTGGCTGCTTTTGAGAATTCTCAAAAGTGATTTCAATACAATATGGATCATGGCATAGGGCTCGGGCCCTGGCTGCTCGTGGAAGTGCGCTTGCAAGCAAGCAGCATCCCTCCTGCACCCTCCCCCAACCCTTCCCCCCTCCCGTAGTCCCCCCCCCCTGGCCTGTGCCAGCCTCGTCCACAGAGCAGAGGTGCATGGCATTGGTGAGAGTGCGCACACTGGCGTGTTTGAACAAGTGTTCTGAGATGCCAACGTCTCAAAACACTTCTTCAAACACATGGCATTGGTGAAAGTGCGTGCACTGGCTGCTCGTGGATCCGTGGAAGCGCGCATGCAAGCAACCAACAGTCCTCACGCACATCCCCCCTTCCCCAACTCTCCCCCCTTCTTCCCCCACAGCTCATTTGCTTACGGTGTGCCAGCCTCGACCACAGAGCAGAGGGTCACGGCATTGGGCTCTGGCGCACTGGCTGCTCGTGGAATGGAGGAAGTGCGCATGCAAGCAAGCAGAATCCCTCCCGCACCCTTCCCCAACCCTTCCCCCCTCCCTTAGTCCCCCACTGCCCCGTACTTACGGTCTCCCAGCGTCGTCCACAGAGCAGAGCGTCATGGCATTGGGCTCCGGCACACTGGCAGCTAATGCCTCCTTGAACCATGCTTGGAACTGACTCACAGAGGGAAGAAGGGCAAGGAGGGGGGGGTGACGGTGGGTTTGAGTTGACTCTAAACCCAAAACACACTGGCTGCCAATGCCTCACTGAACCATGCTTTGAACTGACTCGCACAGAGAGGAGGGCGGGAAGGGGGAGGGTGGGTTGAGGTGGGTCTTGACTCGACTTAAGACGTAAGACAGTGGCTGCTGGGGCCGCGCTGAACCATGCTTAAAATTGACCCATGCAGAGACGAGGGCGGGGAGAGGGAGGGGAGGATGGGGGCGTGGGGGTGGGTGGAGGAGTAGAGTGGAGAGGAGGAGAGCACAGTTGATGGAGAGAAAGAGTAGGGTGTCTAGTGTGGGGAAGAGAGACGGGAATTAGGGATGGCAACAAGAGGAAGAACGATCCTTGCAACCTCGGAGGGGAGGGGAGGGGAGGGGAGGGGAGGGGAGGGGAGGGGAGGGGAGGGGAGGGGAGGGGAGGGGAGGGGAGGGGAGGGGAGGGGAAGGGATGGGATGGGATGGCAGCAGCAGAACCCACACCTGAACGTTGGATGGGACCTCAGACAGCCGTTCATTCGACTCAACAAGTTCCATCAGATAGAACCCACACCTGATCGATGGGATCCGGCAGAACTTCCTTCTCCAGAAGAGCCCTCCCCGAGTACTCCCTGCGCAACGACGCCACATCAACCCCTACCGCCGCCGCTGCAGCTGCAGCAGCACCAGCACCAGCAGCAGCAGCAGCACCACCACCATTCCCAGCTTCACTGCTCCCACCTGCACCTCCCTGTGTCTCCGCTCCTTCTGCCCTTTCACCACCAGCCTGGGAATCAGCAGGAGCAAGAGTAGTTTCAGAGGGTCCACTCAGGCGCACGCACTGCTGCGTGGCGGGGAAGGGCGGCAGGCGCAGGTTGTAGCGCGTGCGGATGGCGGGCGGGACGAAGCGGCCGCCCAGGTAGTGGTGGCGGCCGGCGAAGGAGAGCGCACAGCGCTTGGGAGCCGTGAGGGAGATCTGCAGATGGGAGGGGGGGGGGGGGGGAGCGTATGCAGAGAGAGAGAGGCATGTGGTTCTGGAGCGAAGGAGAGTGCACAGCGCTGGGGGGTCGTGAGGGAGATCTGCAGGTGTGGGGGGACGGAAGGGGACAGGGCGAGTCAGAGCAAGGCGAGGGAAAGCGAGGAACAAGAAGGGGGAATCGATACCTGTGCATGGAGGGGAGAGTCGGAGAGAGAGGATGGGAGGGGAGGCTTTGGGGGGAGGCCCGCCTGCTTTCCCTCCATCACCCTGTGCTTACTCTGACTCTGACCCCACTCACTCACCCTACCTGCACACCTGCTGCCACCCAGCACACCTGCTGCCACCCAGCACACCTGCATTCGCCCTACCAGCACACCTGCATTCGCCCTACCAGCACACCTGCCATCACCCTACCAGCACACCTGCCATCACCCTACCAGCACACCTGCCATCACCCTACCAGCACACCTGCCATCACCCTACCAGCACACCTGCCATCACCCTACCAGCATATCCGGCTTCAGGCCTGTCCCAGCTGCATCTCCCTGCTCCACATCCCACCCTGAAGGAATGTCGATGGCCACTATAGGGGGGATGCCTGCCTCCTCTGCCGTGCTGCCAGGTGGCGCAATGAGACTGGCCAGGATGGAGTCAAAGGGAGGCCGGGGGGAGCCTGAGGGAAGAGGGGGCGAGGGAGGAGGTGAAGGGAGATGGGTAAGCGATTGTTGAGTTGAGTGAGAATGGTTAACTCAGTTACCGAGTCGACTCTACAAGAACTCAGTTGAAAGGGAAGCTAGATGGATGATTGGACAGAGTATTTGTGGGGACGGGGTGAAGTGAAGAGATGGGGAAGAGTGCAAAGGATGGAGTGAAGTCGGCATGAGCAACAGCACGGATTAGAGAGTGGGAAGGAGAGGAGGGCATGATGTCATGACATGACATGGAGCCAACCACAGGGACTGGCTTGCAGAATTGCGCTTGTGCCAGTGGCAGGGTGGAGGGTGCAGAGTGCACCGTTATGGCTGCTGCATGTGCCAGGCTACCCATGCCCAGCCATGCCCAGCCATGCCCGTCCATGTCCGATGGTGCATGCATGCATGCGAGGGGGCGACCTTGGAAGGAGAAGCCGAAGATGGCGTCGACAACGAGGTGGAAGGACGGCAGCAGGGGGGAAGGCAGCTCGTCGGGCGACAGAAACGGCACTCCCAGCGACTCCACCTGCACGTATGAACGCACACCCATGCACATCACGGGTCATGGGCGGGCATGGGAGTAACCCGGCATGATGCGCATGGGCATGGGCATAGGAACAAAGTTTAGGCGCCTCAGATATCGTCTCTCTGCTCTACCTGCAGTTTCTGCATTATTAAACCTCCCGATACACCTGAGACGGTATGGTCTCCCCCCCAACCATGGTTCCAGCCCCACATCATACCTACGTGACGAGCCCCTGGTACAGGGGCTTGGGTGTCCTCTTGGGGTAGCACACAGCGGGGCTTTAGCCAAAGTGGAGTAACTTTCTGGCGTCTCAGGAACCGCCTCTGTACCCGCGGATTGCACACCTGTAGCCCTGCCTGCCACACGTCCAGCACGGCACTACCTGTGTGACGAGCCCCTGGTACAGGAGCTTGGGCGTCCTCTTGGGGTACCGCACAGCAGGGCGGTAGCTTAAGTGGAACGCTTCTGAGGCGCCTCGAAAATAATACGTCCACACGCGGTATTGATACCCTCAACCCTACCTACCTACGTGACGAGCCCCTGGTACAGGGGCTTGGGCGTCCGCTTGGGGTAGCACACAGCCGGGCGGTAGCCAAAGTTTGAGGCGCCTCAAATAACGCCCCGCAGCCCACAACATTGATAGCCTACCACACGATCAGCTCAACCCTACCTGAGTGACGAGCCCCTGGTACAGGGCCTTGGGCGTCCGCTTGGGGTAGCAGACGGCAGGGCGGTAGCCAAAGTGGAAGAGGTGCCGCGCTGCCACGAGCCCGTCCCCCCCGTTGTTGCCCGGCCCACATATGATCAGCACTGATGGGAAGTGTGATGGGGGGTACTCCTGTGCGTGAGAGGGGGAGGCAGGGAGTGGTGGGGACGGAGATGAGTCGACTCAAAGGAGGTGCCGTGCTGCCATGAGACCGTTCCCCCCGTTGTTGCCCGGCCCACACATGATCAGCACTGATGGGAAGTGCGATGGGGGGTACTCCTGTGCGTGGATTGGGAGATGGGAGGGGTGTGTGGGGATAGTGCTAGTGCGATGTTACTGTTGGTAAGCGTACAGCAAAAGAGAAAGGCTCGCGGGGAGGTTGGTAGATGGATTGTGAGAAGATGGGAAGTGGGGGAGAGGCCAGCGGACGAGAGAGGAGAGGGGGGGAGGGAAAACAAGAAGTCAGCATGGTTGTTGTAGTAGAATGCTTAGTGAATAACAGCATAGGTTGCACATTATGCACCCGTGTAAGTGCATGTGTGTGTGCGCATGTGACGAGGAATGGTTGCAAGTGCATGCACAGCTCAACCCCGCAAGAGGCCTTTGATCATTCCTGAAAACTACCCACAGAGCATCATGGGTCTGCCCCCATGCATGCAAGCACGTGTTTCCTCCCCCTGACTCCCAGGCGTTACCTGGAAGATGGCGCATGCACAGCTCAACCCTGCCAGCTCCTGCCACCGCCACGGGACCAGCAGAGGGGAGGGGGAAGGAGGAGCAGGGGGGAGCGTGAGGCAATTGGACAAGGAATGTCAGACTGGGTGGATCACAGCGAGGAGATGAGTTTTGAGTCGACTCAAATGTCAGACCGGGTGGAACACAGCGAGGAGATGAGTTTTGAGTCGACTCAAATGTCAGACCGGGTGGAACACAGCGAGGAGATGAGTCGCACAGGCGAGGAACATGGGGAGCAGGCAACCGGGAAACGGGAGAAGCGGGGAAATGGGGAGATGTGTGCTTCTCATAAGCATATGAGGAAATCATAGGTGCATGCTTTTTATCCGTTTGGGTCCACTCATATGCCACCTTTTATCCTCCGACTCCCAAGTGTGCTTGCCACACGCAACGGCAATAACGTGTAAGCCACTCATTTCAATTCAACAGAGATGGAAGGCAAAAAGTGGGAAAGCTATGTTGATGTTATTTATGAGAACTCTCAAGAGATGGAAGGCAGAAAGTGCGAAAACAGCTGGAAAGCGGCATATGTTCCAGAGAGGGGCTCAGCCGGCCTCAGGTGGGGCACAACAGGGCGGTGGTGTTTGAAGCAGCAGGGCAGGGGACGGAGATTCATGCTCAGCTGGGCCACAACAAGCCAACCGCCTGTTTCGCACACTTCGTTGCACTCCCCTTCATCCTCCCTTCAGCTCGCTTTCCTCCCCTTGCATTTTTTACAGCCTTTTCATCAGCCTCCGCCCTCCTCTGGGCGCCCTGGCGCGCCCTCGGACCTCCGCCCTGCTATCCCCCCCTCCCCCCCTCCCTTCATCCCGGTGCGACCTGCGCCATCCGCCATCCGCCCTCCGCCTTGCGCCCCCTGCGCCCTGCGCTCTCACCATGAGCTGGTCGACGCTGAACCCTAGGCTCGAGAACAGCGCCTCGTCCACCGCGATGGCTTCCGCCTGACACAAATACGACAGCGCACCCTCCTCCGCGCGCGCACCCTCCGCGCGCGCATCCCCCTCCGCGCGCGCATCCCCCACGCCGTGGCTTGGTTGTTCCGCCTCCATGCCGGCCTTCGTTACAAGCACGCGCTCGCGAGCGCGCCAAGCGGAGCTTCCGCCCGCTGGGAACTGCGCGGAGGGTGCCGAGCGCCGGGTGGAACGGCGGAAGAATAAGCCCGAGCCCGCGGGAAAGAAAGGGGGAATATTCGCGGGGAGGGACGCGGAAGGACGGGGCGCGGGGAATGGTGCGCGGGGCAGATGGCGGAGGAAAGAAGAGCGAAGGAACGGAGACGCGGTGGAGGAGGAGACGGTGCGGAGCGAGAAGAGCGAGGACATGGCCAGGAAGGCAGGAAGAACGTGCAAGGAATTCTTCTGGAACTGAAAGGATAGGATTACGCGGCGCGGGAATCTCGAGGCTGCTTGGGTGGGGAATGGCACGAGATGAGATAGATTCGCATGCCCAAGCTTGCCCAAATGTCCTTTTTCGCCGTGTTCGCGCTTCTGAAAATTCGCATAGGGGATTGCGATGATCCACCTGCAAGGGTGCAATTGAAGTATCCACATACATATACATAGTAGACTTATTTTACCTTCCATGCCTGAAACTGGTATTTGTGGTATGGGGTGTTACGATAAAGAAAAACTGAGTACATTGATTTCCTGTTCTTAACGAGGATTGAGCAAAATAGGGTACGAAAAGGAACGGCCAGGATGACGCAAAATGTGTAGTACAGTTAGAGCATCTGGACTGACAGCGAGGTTATTCTTTTGTTATACCGTAATCATTTCACATTCACTCTAACTTGAGGTCAAATACTTCAGCTGCATTAAAACTCTTTGCGAACAACCTGAGGCTGATCCTGACAAGATCCCTTATAGGATCGCAACATGATGCCAGAGCGACTCATGGATTCTTTTCACTGCCGCCTCCGAAAGTTTCTACGAACTAAAAGTGGCATCCGGCACACGCTTGTACGTAAGGATGGCCGTATGATTAGGAGACCAAGCGAATCTGACGGCCGAAGGCTGGATCGACGCCGTTCTCGTCCGGCGCCAACACGTCGTGGTCAATAGACTTCTTCAATCCGACGATCTTCAGTTGCGGCTCAATCGACTCTGTCTACTTCATGAGGTCGTGTTGACCTTCCGGCAGCTTGTGCACGACGATTCTGTCAGGCGAGAACTTGAAGTAGCCATACGCTGGTGCGATCCCTTCGTTCCAGCCAACCGACAAGTGGGTCGCCGAGGTCGGCCTGACTCCTCTTCGCTATGAAGAGCGACGTCACCTGCCGACGCCGCCGCCTGCAATCGCCATCGACCGCAGCACTTGTGCGTGCATTTTGACGACGCCAACCATGGCGGCCCGAATCACTCCACGAGCAACTCTCGTGCTACCGCCTTCGACTTTGGTGTCGCCGCCTTCATTGTGCACAGGTTGGCGTGAGGCAGACGCATCGTCCGTTTCAGCACGGAAAGGGGGGTGCTCGCGTGCCCACTCTGCACAAATTCCTAGGAGCATCAACTTCAGCGACGCTCTACCATACTCGCCAGCCTGGCGGCGTGCCCGAACCTCAGCCTCTCTTGCCTACAGTATATCCTTTACGCCTGCTTCGACTACCGGAGGCTCGACCATGGCAATTGAGATGCATGCCGGCCTAACAACGACTGATGTAAGGTGATAAGAAACGAGGAAGGAATGGATTGAGCAGAATGAGGAGTACAAGTAGTAAACCCTAAAGTGTTGTACCCCATATGAACTGCCCTACTACAGCCTACACAGACTTTAGCATATATGCCTGACACACCCCCATAGGCAAAGTGGGGGAGAACAAGGGGTCACAAGACCAGTGAAGCAAAGCAAAGCAAGCTCAGGGTGGATCACAACGTCACCACACACTCCGAGCACAAGAGCAAGGCCACAAGGCCAGCTCACATGCAAGATCATATATATAAAGGTAAACAAGCATGTGCAGGTAAAGAAAGAGTACAGTACAAACAAGATCAAGAAGTGACCAAGTGAGGCCACGTAGGCACAAGACCTAGCATGGCACAGATTCGCTGATGATCACAAGGCGCAAGTGCCTTGGTGAAGATATCAACAGTGTTGGCCTCAGAGGCCACGTAGGTGAGGCGGAGCTGACCACGCTGCTGCAGCTCACGAGCCAGGAAGTAGCGAAGAGCAATGTGCTTCGTTCTGTGCTCCAGTCTGTGCTCCCGACACAAGGCCAGCATGGCCTTGTTGTCTACGTACAGAAGTGGAGGAGAACGAGGCGGCTCTCCTAGGTCAGTCAGCAGGTAGGTGAGCCAGCGTAGCTCCTGTGCAGCCATGGCCCCCGGATAGATCTCAGTCTCACAGCTGGAGGTGAGAACAGAAGACGAGCGGGTAGCCCGCCACAAAACAGAGCCGGAGCCAAGGCTGAAGGTGTAACCCTGTGACGACCGCTGTGTCGGCTGGTCGTCAGCCCAAGAAGCGTCTGTGTGACCTGTGAGGACCACTCGACGTCGCCCTCCAAGCACTAGCCCCATGGCCGACGTACTGCACACGTAGCGCAACACCCTCTTCGCTGCAGCCATGTGCTCTGGTCGGTGTCTCCCAGGAGCAACATAGCGTGCCAAGATGCTAAGAGGGTATGCAAGGTCAGGTCGTGTGCAGGTCATCAGGTACATGAGGCAGCCAACAAGCTCTGGGTACGGGCCACTCGGCTCTACGGACTCATCCGAAGGCAGAGCTGAGAGCGAGTGGCGAGTAGACAGAGGAGTGGCCTGAGGCGAGGAGTACGTGAAGCCGAAGCGCTGAAGGACCTGCTGCACCATGTGTGACTGAGTCAGGGTAATGGTGCGCTGTGCTCTGTCCCGGGTGATCTGCAAGCCAAGGTAACTGCGTAGTTCACCCAGGTCTGTGCACTGAGAAAATGTGAACGAGAATGAATGACTAAGGAATGGAAGTGATACAAATATGCAACCCTAGAAATGTGTACCCCATATAGGCTACCCCACTATAGCCTACACAATATGATAATTTGACACACCCCCATAGGCAAAGTGGGGGAGAATAAGGGGTCACAAGACCAGTCAAGCAAAGCAGACAAAGCTCAGGGTGGATCACAACGTCACCACACAGTCCGAGCACAAGGTCAAGGCCACAAGGCCAGTTCACATGCAGGAGTACACATATATATATATAAGGCCAAACAAGCAATAGCAGGTATATATATATGTAAGAGTACAAGCAAGGTCAAGGGGTGAGCAAGTGAGGCAAGACAGGCACAAGACCCAGTTGAGTGCAGAAGCGCTGATGATCACAAGGCGGAAGTGCCTTGGTGAAAACATCAGCAGTGTTGGCCTCAGAGGCCACGTACGCAAGTCGCAACTGACCACGCTGCTGCAACTCACGAGCAAGAAAGTAGCGGAGAGCAATGTGCTTCGTTCTGTGCTCCAGGCGCTACTCGCGACACAAGGCTAGCATGGCCTTGTTGTCTACATACAGCACCGGAGGAGAACGAGGCGGCTCTCCGAGGTTAGTCAGCAGGTAGGTAAGCCAGCGAAGCTCCTGTGCAGCCATGGCCCCTGCGTAGATCTCAGCCTCACAACTGGAGCCGAGAACAGAAGACGAGCGAGTAGCCCGCCACGAAACAGAGCCGGAACCAAGGCTGAAGGTGTAACCCTGTGACGACCGCTGCGTAGCCTGGTCGTCAGCCCAAGAAGCGTCCGCGTGCCCAGTGAGGACCACTGGACTCCGCCCTCCAAGCACTAGCCCCATGCCCGACGTACTGCACAAGTAGCGCAACACCCTCTTCGCTGCAGCCATGTGCTCTGGTCTGTGTCTCCCAGGAGCAACATAGCGTGCAAGAATGCTAAGAGGGTATGCAAGGTCAGGTCGTGTGCAGGTCATCAGGTACATGAGGCAGCCAACAAGCTCTGGGTACGGGCCACCCGACTCTACGGACTCATCCGAAGGCAGAGCTGAGAGCGAGTGGCGAGTAGACAGAGGAGTGGCCTGAGGCGAGGAGTACGTGAAGCCGAAGCGCTGAAGGACCTGCTGCACCATGTGTGACTGAGTCAGGGTAATGGTGCGGCGTGCTCTGTCCCGGGTGATCTGCAAGCCAAGGTAGCTGCGCAGTTCACCCAGGTCTGTGCACGTGTGTCTCTTCTGCAGCTCGGACTTCACGTGGGCAAGTCCAGCAGTGTCACCTATGGCAAAGCCCAAGTCGTCGACGTACACGAGGATGTGGAACCGCGGCAGAGAGGTGTCGGTGCGCAGAAACAGCGACGGGTCAGCAGTAGAGGGAGCAAACCCAAGAGCCGCAAGTGTAGTCCTCAGTGTGTCGTGCCACTCGCGCGGTGCCTGGCGGAGACCGTAGACTGGCCGTCGGAGGCTCCACTGGGTGCCAGGAGGGAATGTCCCAGTGAAGCCAGGTGGACGGCGCAGCCAGATCTCCTCGTGCAGGCTACCCTGCAAGAAAGCAGTGCTGAAGTCAAGAGAGTGGAGCTCGTAGTCGCGCAGAGCGGCTATGTGCAGCAGCACCCGAAGAGTGGTCATCTTCGGGGTGGGAGAGAAGGTCTGAAAGTAGTCAACTCCCTGCCGCTGACTAAAGCCACGAACCACGTACCGTGCCTTGAAGACAGGTGGAGAGCCCGGCGGCCGCTTCACCCTGAAGATCCACATGCCACTGACGATGTTCGCCCCAGGAGGGGGAACCGCGTCAACGTAGGTGCCTGTGGACTTCCAGGAAGCCATCTCTGCATCCATAGCTGCCTGCCACTGAGAGGAGTAGGGACCCTCTACGGCCTCCGTGTAAGAGCGCGGAGTCGGGATGTCTAGTGCATCCGGGTCTCCCTCAGGGGTAAGCAGTACGGACGCGAGATGAGGTGAAGCAGCAGCCAGACATTGGAACTCCTCCTGCCTGTCCTCAAGGACGTCCGTGCCAAGAGCACACTCACCCCCGACGGACGGAGGACAGACAGACGCAGACTCAGCAACAAGACTAGCAGCGTAGTCTAGACGACAGTGAGCAGCAAAGTCGACGAGCTAAGCAACAAGAGCAGACGCAGCAGTGGACTCAAAGGAGGGGTCAGTGACGACAGTAGCAAGGAGACGCGTGACAGTAGGACAGGCAGCACGAAGAGAGTCCGACTCAGGGTCGGCAAGAGCAGGAAGAGAGGACTCAGGAGGAGAGGGCAAAGGGGCACGCAGAGGAGCAGTGGACGGACGCAGAGACATCCGGTGCGTGCCAGGGATAGGAGGAGGACGCTGACGCGAACTGCGACCACTAGTGCGAGCAGCACAAACAGGCGACGCAGGACGAGACGCAGGCTCACGACGCTCAGCAAGACCT